GAGGCTGACAACTTTGTGCAACTCTGCTTTGCTTAAATCCGTTTTATGTGCAAAGCAAAAGACATCATCTATACAAAAAAAGGGCACAAATAGTACAGAAGACAGGAGAGGCAAGTTGGTCTAGAGACATCCATTGAATATAGACATTCTACTCCAGGAGCGTGATAATTTGATTCTTCCCAGTGAAGGATAAGTTTTTACTTGTCTAATAGTTTAAAGAAATCCTAGAAAGATTGTCTTTGGCCACTGACCAAATGTCAGTCACAGGATTTTGGAACGAGAAAGGAATCTTAGAGATAGATCATAGGATTTAAAAATTGGAGGGAGCTATAAAGTTTTTCCCCCCAATTTTCTGCTTCTCTTCTGAACTTCGCCACATTTACTTTATTTGTACAAACCCTTTTTAATCTAATGTAATCAAAATCATCCATTTTGTACCTCACACTCTCTATCTCTTGTTTATTCATAAATTGTTTGCCTGTCCACAAGTCTAATAAGTAATATATTCCATGTTCTTCAAATTTCCTTGTAATCTCTCTCTATATAGGTCATGTATCCATTTTGACCTTATCTTGGTAAATGCTGTAAAGATCTCATATCTCAAATATGTAAAGAATTTTGTCAAATCTATATGAATACAAGCCGTTGCCCAATTGATAGTCAAAGGATATGAACAGGCAATTTTCCAACAAAGGAATCAAAACAATTTATAGTTACATGAAAAAAAATGCTCTAAATCATTATTGATTAGAGAAATGCAAATTAAAACATGTTTGAGATATCATTTTATACCTATCAGATTGACTAAAATGATTGAAAGGGAAAGTGACAAGTGTTGGAAGGGATGTGGAAAAATTGGGATATTAATTCACTGTTGGTAGAAATGTGAACTAATCCAACCATTTTGGAGAGCAATCTGGAATTATGCCTAAAGAGTTATTAAACTGCCAGTACCCTTTAATCCAGAAATACCACTACTAAGTCTGTTTCCCAAAATGATTAGGGAAAAAGAAAAAGAACCTATATATTCTAAAATATTTATAGCAGCTCTTTTTGTGGTGGCAAAGAAATGGAAATTTCAGAACTGTCTATCAACTGGAGAGTAGCTGAACAAGTTGTGGTATATGATTGTGATGGAATACTATTGTGCTATAAGAAATGATGAGCTCAGTGATCTTAGAAAAACACAGATAGACTTGCATAAAATAATGAGTGACATGAGCAGAACTGAGAGAACATTGTGTATAGTAAGTGCAATATTGTTTTAACAATAACTTTGTGAGGCAGCTAGATGGCGCAGTAGGTAGAGCTCCAGCCTTGGAGTCAGGAGGACCTGAGTTCAAATTTGACCTCAGACATGTGACACTTACTAGCTGTGTGACCCTGGGCAAGTCACTTAACCCCATTGCTTGGCCAAAAAGCAAAACAAAACAAAAAAAAACTTTGAGCGACAAAGTCATTTTGACTATACCCCAAATTAACTACAAAAGACCTATGAAGGAAGACACTATCTGCATCCAGAGAATGAACAGATAAATAGAAGTAGGCATAGAATTGTTTTACGTATCTATATATGTTTGTATCTTATGATAGCCATCTCTAGGGTGGGAGGAGGAAGGGAAGAAAAAAAAGGAAATTGCATGATAACTTTATTATGTATTTGAAAGGAATAGCAAGTTGTACATAATAGATTTGCTGTTTCATATGTGATCATTTTTTTCTATGCTATTATGTTATGGAAATGCTTGTTTTATTTCTTAAGTTCAGAATAAAATAAATTAAAAAAAGAACTGGAAGTTTTCTCAGTATAGCTCAACCACACTCAGGAATGAGTCGACAAGAAGAGTCCTCTTGATGCTCCAGAGCTAGAGAAGAAGAGAAATTTCAATTTGCAGTGACTTCACCCAAGAGAAGTGTCTGCATCTGCTTTATTGCTCACCTCATAAAGAATCTAAGCCTTCACCAAGCACAGAAGCAAAAGGGTCAGCTGTGAGGGGAATCAGCAGGCAATAGTTTTATCTCTTGCAATTTAAGTTCACTTTTATGGGCAATTTTACACTAAGTGGCTGTTTGGAGCAATGACATGAATTGAAGAGGTCTGCCTTTCTGAACACCTTTTTCCAATTAGTGACAAGGAAGGGCAGAAATTCAATTCATCAGGCTTCACCGACTCCTAAGTTTGCTCCTCAGAGCTGTAACTAGCATGGGGTGAATGAAGCTTTTCTCCATAGCACGCACCTGGGAGGTAGGGAGGTAGAACATTCTCCTTAGGTGTCACACTTCAGCCTAAAAGATCATCTTCCCAGAATGGTGCACTTTCACATTTCTTCTCCATGGTAACTACCATCCCTCACACCTTATTCCACAGTCCTGGTCCTCTCAATATCTAGGGCATGATTGTCCCTGTAAGACTTTCTAGTCCTCTCATGATACAATTGTACTTTTAGTGAGATTTGTACATTTAGTGACATGCATCTACATGCAATCCTTATCCCTTTTTCAAATTATCCTCTTCATTATTTGGATGCCCCACAATCTTACCTGAACTTGCCCCAGGCCCAACCAGTTATAGCTCTGATGTTCCTTCTCACCTATTCTCCTCAGGTCCCCCAAGCCAGAGTGTTGGCAACAGCAGTGAGCTGCTTGTGTATGTGTGTTGACTAGAAGGATAAAGAGAAGGATGATGAGGGTTGTTTTGGAAGTTCTGTAAGTGACAGTTATGGAAAAAAGGTGTATATTCCCCTAGCCCTTTTGGTGGAAGGGTAAGAAGGTAGAGCAGTGGATAGAGCACTGGGCTTGGATTCAGGAAGACTCATCTTCATGAGTTCAAATGTGGCTGCAAACACTTACTAGCTTAACTCTGTTTGCCTCAGTGTCCTCATCTGTAAAATGAGCTGGAGAAGGAAATGGCAAACCACTCTACTATCTCTGCCAAGAAAATCCCAAATCGGGTCACAGACATGACTGAAACACCTGAACAACAAGAAGAGGAAGAAATGGAGATGGGCAAGCAGGTGGAGGCAAGGCTTGAGAGGACTAGGATGCTATAGTGTTGTAGCTGGAAGAACTCTCAGACACCATCTGATTCAACCCCATCATTTCATAGGTTAGTAAACTGAGGCTCAATGAGTAATTTGCCCAAGGTCACACAGGTAGCAGCTGGAAGAACCGGGAGTTCAACCTAGGTTATCAGAATCCAAATCTAATGCATTTTCCAAAATACCACAGTACCTTTACAGAGGCACAGCTGGGTTCCTTTGTTCCCAATCCAAAATACCCCATGTTATTTTGGGGAGGCAATCAGGGTTTAGTGACATAGCTAGTAAGTGTCTGAGGCCAGATTTGAACTCAGGTCCTCCTGACTCTAGGGCTGGTGCTCTATCCACTGGGCAACCTAGTTGCCCTCAGCTTGTATTGTAATTTGAAGCAGATATTATCTCATTTGATTGTCACAAAAACACCTGAGATGTCTTATTATTAGCCCCAATTTGCAAATAAGGAAACTGAGGCTGAGAGAGGTTAATCTGACTTGCCCAAAGTCACATAATTAGTAAGGGTTTGGAGTGAGATATGAGCTTGAGTCTTATGACTCCTAGAATTAAGTCAGACTAACAAGTTTTTCCTTAGAAGTGAGAGAATTGGATTTCTTATGAGCAGCTCTTTAAAAAATGAGGCTAAAATGATGAAGACAGGACACTAACTATAATTTCTATTACCCAGACCTTCCCTATCTCCCATACTCAGGATGTAGAAGTCACTAGGAAGCAAGATAAGTCCATGTGAGGCTCAGTAAGGCCATGCCACTGGGCAGTGTGTCCTAGGGCTCATATCTCACTGTTCTCTCCCCACTAGGAAAGTATAGATATCCTCTTTCCTTGAAGTCTATTTCATTTTCCAGAGTAACATAGCATAACGGAAAGAGCACTGACTTTGAGTCAAAACCGCTAGGGCTGGGTTTGGATTTAGGTCATATAAGCTCTATGACCTTAGCCCACTCAGTACATTTCTCTGAACTTCAGTTTTCCTGTCTGTACGTGAGTGCCCTGTCAGACTTCGACAATTTGGATCATTGAAATGAAGAAATACAAAACCAAACGTAAGACATGGTGAAAGCCGTAATAGAAACAGTGCACTTATCCAGAGCAAAGCCAGCTTTAATGTTCTGTGTTTTAGTTGTTTATTTGCATATAATAGACTGAAAAACTTTAGAGTTAATAACTGGGGAATCATGAGCCCCATAACTGTTTTATGAGTATTGGACAAAAGTACTTTTCCTATTTATGGTACAGTCAGCAGAAATGAGAATTTGGATACTCATCATAAACCAGAGTCTCAAAGTGAGACAGAATGGACTAGGCAGAATGGAGTGTAAAAGAATACATTTCAGAGCTATGTGAAAGTGAGGCTATAGCTTTCTATTCTGAAATTAGAGAAAGAACTCTGCACTGTCACCTGCTACCATTCAATCAATCAAAAAACATATATTAAGCATCTGCCATGTGCCAGACACATGGGGATACAACATGAAGCAAATGAGGGCTCCCTGCCCTCAAGGAGCTTATGGTCTAATGGGGAGATAACATGCAAACAAATATATACAAAGCAAACTATATACAGGATAAAAAGGAAATAATTAACAGAGGGAAGACATTGGAATTAAGAGGGGTTAGGAAAGGCTTCCTGTAGAAGGTGGAATTTTAATTCCAGAGTTCCCAGGTCAAGGAGAAAATATTACAGGCAGCTAGAAAGAAACAAGTTAAGTGTTGTGGAAACACAATCAGGATAACACAAGATTTAGCAGCTTCTACATTAAGGGATTGGAGGGCTTGGAATATGATATTTCAGAGGTCAAAGGAGCTAAGATTAAAATGAAGATCTCCTACCTAGCAAAACTGTGTATAATCTTTCAGGGGGAAAATGGACATTCAATGAAATAAAGGACTTCCAAGCATTCTTGATGAAAAGACCAGAGCTGAATAGAAAATTTGACTTTCAAATATAAGACTCAAGAGAAGCATGAAAAGGTAAACAGGAAAGAGAAATCACAAGGGACTTATTAAAGTTGAACTGTTTACATTTTTAACTCATTAGACTTTTCTCAGAGTAGTTGGAGGGAATATATATATATATATATATATATATATATATATATATATATATATATATATATATATATATATATATATATATATATATATATATATATATATATATACAGAAGGCACAGGGTGAATTGAAGATGAAGGGATGATATTTAAAAAATAAAATTAAGGGGTGAGAGAGGATTATACTGGGAGGAGAAGGGGAGAGGTAGAATGGGGTAAATTATCTCACATAGAAGAGGCAAGAAGAAGCTTTTATAGTGGAGGGGAAGAGGAGGGAGGTGTGAGGGAATGAATGAATCTTACTGTCATCAGATCTGGCTTAAGGAGGGAATAACATATATGGTCAACTGGGTATGGAAATCTATCTTACCCTACAGGAAAATAGCAGGAAAGGGGATAAGAGAGGGGGGATGATAGAAAGGAGGACAGATTGGGGGAGGGGGTAATCAAAAGCAAATGCGACAGGGTCAAAGAAGAGAATAGAATAAATGGGAGAGCAGGATAGGATGGAGGGAATTATAGTTAAGTCTTTCACAACATGACTATTATTGAAGTGTTTTGCATGACTACACATGTACAACCTATGTAGAATTGCTTGCCTTCTCAATGAGGGTGGGTGGGAAGGGAGGAAGGTAGAGAATTTGGAACTCAAAGTTTTATAAATGAATGTTAAAAAGTTTTTACATGCAACTGGGAAATAAGGTATAGAAGCAAAGGGGTATAGAAATCTATCCTGCCCTATAGGAAAATAGCAGGGGAAGGGGATAAGGGAAGGGGGGGTGATGATAGAAAGGAGGGCAGATTGGGGGAAGGGGTATTCAGAATGCACGCCACCTTGGGGTGGGGGTAAGGGAGAGATGGGGAGAAAATTTGGAACTCAAAATCTTGTGGAAGTGAATGTTGAAAACTAAAAATAAATAAATTAATTAAAAGGTGGAATTTTAGTTGGGACTTAAAGGAAGCCAGGAAGGTCAGTACAGGGAGATCATTCCGAGCATGGGGAACAGTCAGAGAAAATGACCAGAGTCATGAGATAGAATGTCTTGTTCATTGAATAGCTAGGAGGTCCCTGGATCAAAGAACACATGTCAGGGAGTAAGGTGTAAAGAGACTGGAAAAGTAGGAGGCACTAGGTTATGAAGGATCTTGAATGTCAACCAGAGAATTTTGTATTTGATCCTGAAGGTGTTAGGGAGTTTGTTGAGTGTGGGGGGTGGGGGCTGGTTGCTGGTGGTGATGTGACTGGACTTGTGTTTTAGAAAAATCATTTTAGTAGTTAAATGGAGGAAGGATTGTAATGGGGAAGGACTTGAGGTGGTAGGCTGACCCATCAGTAGGCTATTGCAATAGTCCAGGTATGAGGTAATAATGGCCTGCTCTAGAGTGGTGGTGGTGTCCAAGGAGAGAAGGAGGCATATTCAACAGATGTTTCAAAGATGAAATCGACAAGCCTTGGCAACAGTCTGGATATGGAGAGGGGGTGAGAGATAGTGAGGAGTCCAGGATGACTCCTGAGTTGCAAGCCTGAGGAACTGGGAGAATGGTGTTGCCCTCTACAGTAATAGGGAAGGTAGGAGGAGGGGAGGGTTTGAGGAAAAGATAATGAGTTCTGTTTTGGACATGTTGAGTTTAAGGTATCTATTGGACATCCAGTTCAAGATGACGGAAAGGTAATTGGAGATGTGAGAGACTGGGACAGTAAAGGAGAATCATCAGCATATAAATTGTAGGAAAAATTAGTTGGTGAACAAAAGTACATTCTTCTCTCTCTGACATCTAATATGGAGGAGGTAAAGAAGAGGAAAAGAGATATTTCTCTATACTGCCACTTGTTTCTGAGGAGATGGAAAAGGAGAAGAAATTGGTTACTTCCCTCTGCTGTTACCTACTTTGATTCAATGGATAGAGTTCTGGACCTGGAGTCAGGAAAATGTGAGTTCAAATTCTACTTCATACACTTTCTAGCTTAGGTAAGTCACTCTTTCCTCATCTGTAAAATGGGAACTACAAAAGCACCTACCTCCTGAGGTTGTTGTGAGGATAAAATATCTGTAAAGCACTTTGCAAACCTAATAAATGCTAGCAATTATGTTAAGCAGGTGGGGACAAAAAGGAAAGAAAATATTTCTCAACACTGCCATTTGTTAAAGAGGTCAAGAAGGAAAAATTTCAGAGCCCAGATGAAGAAGTAGAATTGGAGGGGCTTCTGCCAATCCTAGGCTAAGGATCGCTGCCCTTTCGAAAAAATAAAAGTGTAACAGTACTTCAGCTAAAAGCATTGGTTGAGCCTGAAACTGGAGTCGCCAAAGATTAGACCTGCCTGGGAGGAGTAAGAATAAGCTTAGGTGAACAAAAAGAAAGCTTATAGGAGTACAGGAGCAGCAAATGAGCAGTCTAGTGGATCAGCTTATCCCATTGACACACTATGCTCTGTGAGGAATTCTTTCTTCTCTAGGAAGCCTTGGATTAGCCAAGTTTATCAGTGGAGCCAAGTCATCCATACAGGCACTGTGACCACTGGTGAAGTTTGAAAAGCAGTTCTTAAGAAAAAGAAAGGACATTAAGGTCTGTAGTTCATGAATTTGAGTTTCCTTGGCCACATGTGGTCCCCATTGTACTTAGTAACTTGAGTTTGTGCTCACTTTCCACAAGGATACTATATGCCTTGCTGGGTGAGTGGTCTGCTAGGTAACTGTCATTCTTTAATTTCTGTTTAAAAAATGTTTTGATTAAGCAAGCACTTAATAAATATCTATCAAGAGTTAACAGAGAGCAGAACCAAGAGGACTTTGTACACAATAACAACCATGTTATGCGATGACTAATATTGTTAAACTGAACCCTTCTCAGCACTACAAGGATCCAAGATATCTCCAGAGGCCTCGGGATGGAAAATGCTGTCCACATCCAAAGAAAGAACTATGGAAGTCGAATTGCTATCACTTATTTTTACCTTCTGTTGAGTTTTGTTTCATCTTTCTGATGGTTCCTCCCATTGGTTTAAATTTTTACTTACAACTTCACTAATGTGAAAATATGTTTAATAGGAATGTAAATGTAAAGCCAATATCAGATTGTGCACCACCTTGGGGAGGGTGGGGGGGGAAGAAGGGGGAGAAAAATTTTCAACTCAAAACATATGGAAGTGATTGTTGATAAATCAATAAATTAATAAAATAAAAAAATTAAAAAAGAGTTAATGGAGTCATCTTGGCTCATTTGCTGAGGGGAAATACAAAAGTGGAAGTTCATGAGCTGCAGCATTAGTAGGAATGACTACTTCCCAGAGTTACCCCTAGAATCTTCACAGTACTGAGTTGTGGCAGTCACCTTTCTCTGCAGAAACCAACCAACTGCCAGCATGGTTATATATTTAAAGGGGAAAATGAGCCAGCTTCAAATAGGAGAGAGTGAAAGCCCTAGAGTGGAAAGAGACATTGTTCAGGGCCAGGTTGGGAGAACTGATAGAGGTGAGATTAGACATCCTAAGACTACCCACCTCAAAAGCTTGTTGTGAAGAAAGTGTGTTATAAATTTTAAAGAGCTATAACGAATGTGAGCTGTGAAAGCAGACTGTTTCTTCTCCAGTTATCCCTCCTAATCAGCAAACACAAAGAATTGCCAATACAGAAACCTTCTGTAAGAGACCTGGCTAATGCCTCAAATTCATTTGTCCAGTGCCATATCTAAAATCTAAAATGATACATTAGGTCAAGAACAGTACCGGCTCTATGGATGCTCCCAACAAACAGACACAGCAACAATCTCACTCTAGGAAACAGATGTTTTAGAACCATAGAATATCAGAGCTACAAGGACACATTGTAATGACCTAGCTCAATCTCCTCCTTTTACAGAGGAAAATGGGCCTGGAGAGGATCTTGAAAAGTAGTGTATAAATCAGTTTTTTTGGGTAGATCACACCATGCTATACAATGTAGGGGAGCTCATGAGCTCTGGATTTGGCATCAGAGGACTTGGGTTTAATTCCTGGCCCTGCTACTTGCCTATGTAACATTGGTCATGACACTTGGGCCTCAATTTCCTCATATGTAGAATGAGGGGGTTGAACTAGATGATTGCTAAGGCCCCATCCAGCTTTAAATATATGATCTTAGCATCTCCTTCCACAGATCCTATGATCTGCCTACTCAAGGCCTTCTTATATCAGTGTGATAATGGATCCACTGAGGGAGAAAATACTATAGAGGAAAAGGACTGAAGTGGTAATCAAAAGTCTAGGCCCAGCTCTGCTATTAGCTAGCTTTGTGGACTCTGCCTAGTCATTTCTTCTCTTTTAGTCTTAATTTTTTCATTTGTAAAATGTATGGCATGGAATAAATTATCTCTAAGGTCCCTTATTGTTTTGACTATTTTTAAAAAATGTATTTAGTATTTTATTTTTCCCCAGTTACATGTAAAACAATTTTTAACATTCATTTTTAAAACTTTGAGTTCCAAATTCTCTCCCTTCACCTCTCCACACTCCCCACATTGAAAAGGCAAGCAATTTGATATAGATTATGCATGTGAGGTCAAGCAAAACATTTCCATATTAGCTATTTTGTGAAAGAAAACATAGACCAAAAAAAATAATCTCAACAAAAATAAAGTAAAAAAAAGTATGCTTCAATTTGTATTCAGCCACCATCAGTACTTTCTCTGGGGATGGATAGCATTTTTCATCATAAGTCCTTCAGAGTTGTCTTGGATCACTGTATTGCTGAGAATAGCTAAGTCATTCACAGCTGCTCGTCTTATAATATTGCTATTATTTTGTACACAATGCATTTCACTTTGCATCAGCTCAAGTAAGTCTTCCCAGGTTTTTCTGAAAGCATCCTGCTCATCATTTCTTATAGCACAATAGTATTCCATCATAATCATATAGCACAATTTGTTCAGCCATTCCCTAATTGATGGGAATCCTATTGATTTCCAAATCTTTGCCACCAGAAAAGAGCTACTATAAAATTTTTTTGTAGATATAGGTCCTTTTCCTTCTTTAAAAAAGTCTCTTTGGGGATACAGACCTAGTAGTGGCCTTACTACTACTACTGCATGGTTTTGTAGCCCTTTGGACATAGTTCCAGATTGCTCTACACAACAGTTGAATCAGTTCACAACTCCACCAACAGTGCATTAACGTCTCATTTTTGCCAAATCCCTTCCAACATTGGTCATTTTCCTTTTCTGTCCTATTAACTGATCTAATGGGTATGGGGTGGTACCTCAGAATTGTTTTAATTTGCATTTCTCTAATCAATAGTGAGTTAGAGCATTTTTTCACATGACTATAGATAACTTTGATTACTTCATCTGAAAACTGTTCATATCTTTTGAGTATCCATTGGGGAATGGCTCTTATTTTTATAAATTTGACTCAGTTCTGTAGATGTTTGAGAAATGAAGCCTTTATCAGAGAAACTTGCTTCAAATTTTTTTTTCACAGTTACTATTGCTAACTGTATTTTCAAATTTCAATTTTTTATCACAGTTACTATTGCTAATTGTATTTTCCTCCATCTAATTTCCTCTGTCCTGTTTATTCTATTCTCTCTTTTCACCTTACCCCTCCTCAAAAATGTTTTTCTTTTGACTACCCCTCCTCCAATCTGCCCTCCCTTCTATCACCCTACCTCCCCTTCTCATATTCTCTTCCCCTCCAACTTTCCTGTGGGGTAAGACAGACTTCTGTACCCATTGGGTGTTTATGTTATTCCCTCTATGAGACAATTCTGATGACAAATCCACTAAATCCCCCTCACCTCTCCTCCTTCCTCTCCACTGTAAAAGCTTTTTCTGGTCCCTTATGTGAGATAATTTATCCCATTCTACCTCTCCATTTCCCTTTCTCCCAGTACATTCCTCTTTGTCACTCCTTAATTTTAGTTTTTTAGGTATCATCCCTTCATATTCAACTCACACCTATACCCTCTGTCTATATATACTCCTTCTAACTGCTCTAAAATAATGAGAAAGTTTTTATGAGTTACAAGTATCATCTTCCCATGTAGAAATGTAAACAAGCGAACCTTATTAAGTCCTTTATGGTTTCTCTTTCCTTCTTACTTTTTTAATGCTTCTCTTGAGTCTTGTATTTGAAAGTTAAATTTTCTATTCACTCACACCTATTCTATCCAACTAATTCTATTCAACTCACACCTATACCCTCTGTCTATATATACTCCTTCTAACTGCCCTAATAATGTATTTGAAAGTTAAAGTTTCTATTCAACTCTGGTCTTTTCATCAAGAATGCTTAAAACGCTTCTATTTCATTGAATTTCAATTTTTCCCCCTGAAGGATTATACTCAGTTTTGCTGGGTAGGTGATTCTTGGTTGTAAAACTAGCTCCTTTGTCCTTTGGAATATCACATTCCAAGCCCTCTGATCCTTTAATGTAAAAGCTGTTAATCTTGTGTTATCCTGACTATGGTTCCATGATACTTGAATTATTTCTTTCTGGCTGCTTGCAATATTTTCTCCTTGATCTGGGAGCTTTGGAATTTGGCAATAATATACCTGGGAGTTTTCATTTTGGTATCTCTTTCATGAGGTGGTCAGTGGATTCTTTCAATTTTTATTTTACCCTCTGGTTCTAGGATATTAGGGCAATTTTTCTTGATAATTTCTTGAAAGATGATGTCTAGGCACTTTTTTAATTAATTTATTTTTAGTTTTCAACAATCACTTCCATAAGCTTTTGAGTTTTAAATTTTTCTCCCTCTCCATCCCCGCCTTCTTCCCCAAGATGATGTGCAATCTGATATATACTCTTTCTATATATTCCCATTAAACATATTTTCATATTAGTCACATTGTAAGGAAGAATTATAACCAATAGGAGGAACCACAAGAAAGAGGAAACAAATCAAAACAGAAAGAAAAAAAGAGCAAATAGTATGCTTCAATCTGCATTTAAGCTCCATAGTTCTTTCTCTAGATGTGGATATAGACTTTTAAAAAAAATTTTTTTGGTGAGGCAATCAGGGTTAAGTAACTTGCCCAGGGTCACACAGCTTGTAAGTGTCAAGTGTCTGAGGCCAGATTTGAACCCAGGTCCTCCTGACTCCAAGGCCAGAGCTCTATCCACTGTGCCACCTAATTGCCCTAGGCTTTTTTTTTTTATCATGACTTTCAGATAGTCCATTAATTTTAAAATTATCTCTCCTGGATCTGTTTTCCAGGTCAGTTGTTTCTTCCAATGAGATATTTCACATTTTCTTCTATTTTTTCATTCTTTTGGTCTTCTTTTATTGTTTCTTGATTTCTCATAAAGTCATTAGCTTCCATTTTCTCAATTCTAATTTTTAAGGAATTATTTTCCCCAGTGAGCTTTTGGATCTTCTTTTCCATTTGGCCAATTCTACTTTTAAAGAAGTTTTTTTTTTCTTCAGGGAATTTTTGTGCCTCTTTTTCCATTTAGCCAGTTCTGCTTTTTAAAGGTGTTATTTTCTTCAGGTTTTTTTGTGTGTTTCCTTTACCAAGCTGTTGATTCATTTTTCATTATTTTCCTGCATCACTCTCATTTCTCTTCACAATTTTTCTACTACCTCTCTTACTTGATTTTCAAAATCCTTTTTGAGCTCTTCCATGGTCTGAGACTAATTCATATTTTTCTTGGAGGCGTTGGATATAGGAGCTTTGACTTTATTATCTTCTGAGTGTGTGTTTTGATCTTCCTTGTTAATATAGTAACTTTCTATGATCAGAATTTTTTTCTGTTGTTTGCTCATTTTTCCAGTCTATTTCTTGACTTTTAACTCTTTATTAAAGTAGAGCTCTGCTTCCATGGTGGAGAGCATATTGTCCCAAGCTTCAGGGGTTTTGTGCAGCTGTTTTCAGAGATACTTCTAGGGACCCAGAATTTCATTTCTTCCAAA